TCAGCATGAAATGGAGCTTAGTGATGTAGCATGAGGCTGTATATTCTGCAACACTGGGACTATCGGTGAGTCAACAGTGGGTCAAAGGAGTAGCAGAGATGACAGTTGCTCTTTAAAAATTATGATTTAAATCGAGTTGATTTAAATCAAGTCTTTTTACTAGTGATTTAAATCATGATTTAAATCATGATTTAAATCGACTCGATTTAAATCAAATCCACCCTGGTTTGAACCTGTTAGGATTTCACCCCTGCATTTTGGGTACATTAAATTTTCAACCATAACTGAGCCCAAAATGTCTACTACTAAGCAAGAGAGCTGTCAAGTCAGTTTTGTCCCATGTTACGACCTTTCTTGCCACAGTTGTTAAGTGAATCCTGCCAGCTGTGAAGTTACTAACACGGTTGTTAAGTCAATCTGGCTTCCCCCATTGACTTTGCTTGTCAAAAAGTCACAAAAGGGGTTCCCATGACCCCAGGACACTGCAACTGTCATAACTGTGAGTTCAGTTGCTGGGCATCTGAATTTTGATCCTGTGACTCTGGGGATGCTGCAATGGTCACAGGTGGTGTGAAAAACCGCCATTTTTTTCACTGCCATTGTAACTTTGAATGGTCACTAAATGAACTGTTGTAAATTGAGGACTACCTCTACTTCATTTAACTTTATTGAAAATTCAGTCTGCTATGGGTAGATGGAAGTTGGTAACCGTCAATGGAAGGGAAGAAGGGCAACACTAAAATGTGTGATTGGATAAAGTTGCTAACTGTTTCCTGGAAGAAAGATGTAGAAATTACAAGTCACAAAAAGAAGGGACTTTTGCTTTTATTTTTTTTAATATATTGTGCAAAAAATATTTTTTTTTTATGATGGTCATTATGAATGCAAAATTAGAACTGAATCTAAGCTGCAAAACCTCTGTTTATTCATAGAGGTATAACAATGCTGGAAACAGAAGATTAATATCGGTTTTTGCATAATCCAGCTCAATGCAAATGCATTTAAATTCTTGTTTATTTGTATTCCAACTGTGTTTATGGGGATTATTGCCTGGTATAGGTGTTTAGGTTTGCTGCCTAAAAATCCCCGTGACATGGAATGAAATACCAACCCAATGTTTTTATAGAAATCAGTGAGGTTGAAACATACCGTATTTTTCGGAGTATAAGACGCACCCTTTTCCCCCATAAAAGGGGGTGAAAATTTAGGTGCGTCTTATACACCGAATGTAGCCCTGCCCAACCTCTGGCCCCCACCCTTTGGCCTCTGCCTCGCAGCAGTTTACCTCCTTGCAAGCAAATACCAAGAAAAAAAACAGCTCCTTTCAGCTTCAGCACAGCCTAATTAGCACAAGTTGATTGGATTAGCCTCCCGACTCTCAGCTGATTTGCTCTCAGCTGTTTGCTGCAAAGAGGTAAATTGCTGGAGCAGATTTTTTTTTTCCTTGTGCTAATCAAGCTATGCTGAAAACGAAAATGAAAGTAAAGCAGGCTGTTTGCTGTTTGCTGCAACGAGGCAAAATTGTTCAGAGGCAGAGGCAGATTTCTTTTTCTTCTTTTCCTCATCAAAAAAGGTAGGTGTGTCTTACACTCCGGTGCATCTTATACTCCGAAAAATACGGTACTTACATTTAGTAATACTTTCTGTAATGGAATGTGGTCTGGATTCCCAGGAGGGAGGCAGTGCATTCCAGAGAGAAAATGCAGTTTAGCTTGTGTGAGAGAACAAGGATGAAGACAGCTCCTTCATAATGGTTCCCACTTTATGGTGCAAATAGTCTGCTTTAGTTTGGCAAGATTTCTGTCTGAAGGAGAGGAACGATAAATAAATCTGCTTTGAAGAATTGCAACATGTCTTTCTTGGTTTTTGAAGCTTGCCTTGTTGCGAGTACATAACCACTACGTCAAGGAACGTTTAGTCTTTCTTATAAGTACGGTTTTGTGCCTCTCTAGTCAAAGGCTGGGCCCTGAGTTAAGTTACATTTACATAAGTAGGTATAAAACTGTTTCGTAAATACCATTGCTTTCAATGGGAGAATGATTTTATGGCTTCTGTGGAAATCAGTTGGATCTGATTTCAGTTTGATGGATTATGTTTGTACTGACTTACATAAGGCTTTGTTTTAATCAGGGTGGATTTGATTTAAATCGAGTTGATTTAAATCATGATTTAAATCACTAGTAAAAAGGCTTGATTTAAATCAACTCGATTTAAATCATAATTTTTAAAGAGCAACTGTCATCTCTGCTACTCCTTTGACCCACTGTTGACTCACCGATAGTCCCAGTGTTGCATAATATACAGCCTCCTGCTACATAACTAAGCTCCGTTTCATGCTGAATAAACTAAATTATTTATGTATCGTAAATAGAAAACTATCTTACGATAGATTTTTACCCCAAAAGTTTTTTATTAAAATAAATTCGATAAAAATCAAAAAAATCCGATTTAAATAAAAAAAAATCCGATTTAAATAAAAAAAATCTGATTTTTTTGATTTTTTTTAAAAAAATCATTGATTTTTATCCACCCTGGTTTTAATGTCAGACATTTTAGCTAAAGTAAAAAGAAACTGTAAAGGTTACAATCATATCTGATGAACGGTGCTCATCTCCTTTTCTTAGCTGAGGGAGCCAGCATTGTCCGAAGACATGTCCGTGGTCATATGGCCTGCATGACTATATGCCAAGCCGCACAGAGCGCTGTTACCTTCCCATCGAAGTACACTGTTTCCCGTAAAATAAGACACCCCCTGATAATAAGACCAATCAGGTTTTTGAGTGCATGGCTAAAATAAGCCCCCCCCCCAAAAAATAAGCCCTCCCCCAAAAATTTAAACGCATGAGCAGCCAGTTCCCGCCATTTCCTCTGGTTAGGGTTAGGGAGACAGAGCTGGAAATCAGGTAAGATGGCAAGATGAGCCCCATCTTGCTCCATGTGCCCCGAAATAATAAGACATCCGCGAAAATAAGAATAGAATAGAATAACAGAGTTGGAAGGGACCTTGGAGGTCTTCTAGTCCAACCCCCTGCCCAGGCAGGAAACCCTACACCACTTCAGACAAATGGTTATCCAACATCTTCTTAAAAATTTCCAGTGTTGGGGCATTCACAACTTCTGGAGGGAAGTTATTCCACTGATTAATTGTTCTAACTGTGAGGAAATTTCTCCTTAGTTCTAAGTTGCTTCTCTCCTTGATTAGTTTCCACCCATTGCTTCTTGTTCTATCCTCAGGTGCTTTGGAGAATAGTTTGACTCCTTCTTCTTTGTGGCAACCCCTGAGATATTGGAACACAGCTATCATGTCTCCCCTAGTCCTTCTCTTCATCAAACTAGACATAGCCAGTTCCTGCAACCGTTCTTCATATGCTTTAGCCTCCAGTCCCCTAATCATCTTTGTTGCTCTTCTCTACACTCTTTCTAGAGTCTCAACATCTTTTTTACATCATGGCAGCCAAAACTGAATGCAATATTCCAAGTGTGGCCTTACCAAGGCATTATAAAGTGGTATTAACACTTCACGTGGTCTTGATTATATAAGGCCAAGCACTTATTTCAGAGTTTAAAAAAAATATAAGACAGGGTCTTATTTTGGGGAAAACACAGTAGTACCTATTTATCTGCTTGCAATTGCATGATTTCAAACTGCTAGGTAGGCAGGAGCTGGACCAAGCAAGGGGAACTCACCCCATCATGTGATGCTTGAGTCTCGAACCTGGTCTGTCAGCTTTCCAGTTGACAAGCTCAGCATCTTTAACTGCTGAGTCATCGCACACACACACACACAGATGCGCACACATACACACTTTAGCTAAAGTACAAAGTCTGATTAGAAAGCACATGTTATAATCACCTTACTGCCAGACGTTTATGGTTCCTCAACGGAATTATAGGCATTATGTCAACTTGAACTTGATTGTTCCTTTGGATTTTCAGAAGTTGAAATCACGTTTTAATGCAAGTTATGAATGTGTGATTGTGAGAATGCCAAACTGGCCAATTCATATTTGGACAATATGTCAGTATAATTTGTGACACTTGGAAATGCTTAAGCAGGTTGCTTATTCTGTAGAAAAATCCTTTTCCTTCTTGTGTTTTGTCAAAGTGCAGATTTTTTAAAGCGGTGTCCAGAATTTTGGTAGAGCACCCAGTGGGCCAATAACCATAGGGAGTACCAGGGGTGAAATCCTCCCAGTTCGGACCGGATCGCCTGATCTGGTAGCGATGGAGGCAGGTGGTTCGGAGAACCGGTAGCAAAAATCCTTGCCTCCCTCCCCCCCCCTCCCATTGCCCAGCTGAGCCGCGCAATCATCAGAGGCTTTTTTTTTTTTTTAAAGCATTTTTTCTACAACCTCTTTGGCCAAAGAAATGCTTTTAAAAGTAAAAAAAAAAAGCCTCTGATGATCGCGCGGCTCAGCTGGGATCATCAGAGGCTTTTAAAAATATTTTTTCTATAACCTCTTTGGCTGAAGAGATTATAGAAAAAATGTTTTTAAAGGGAAAAAAAGCCTCTGCCAATCAGGCAAGTCAGTGGGATCATCAGAGGCTTTAAAAGCATTTTTTACAACCTCTTCAGCCGAAGAGGTTGCGAGGGGTCTATAGATATTTTCACAGCCATCTTTCTGGCTCGCGCAGTATACAGGTCTTCAACAGATGCCCCATTTCAATAGCCTGCGCACCTCATGTGTTCTCTTTGATTTTTTTTAAAAGCTCAAAAACACACCTATTTAAAGCAGGCTTTTAACCATTGTTTTAAATGCTGGTTTAAAACATTTTTTAATATCTCAGGTTCTAATTTTTCTTTTTTAATGCAAACCACTGAGAGACCTTGGTATTCGATGGTATGTATAAATAAGCAAACAAACAAACAAATAATAACTTTGGTTAAGCCGAGATGGGATGGACTTTTTCCATATATCGTTATATAACAAAGCTTTGTTAACAAAACGTTGGTTCACTTTGAACATATTTTTCTCTGTCTCTCTCTCTCTCTCTTTCAGATAATACATTATCACAAGGATGGGGGAGAGTGAAACTCAACACTCAGATTCAGATCCTCGTAATTTAGCCAGCCACAGTAAAAAGGAAAGTCTTGAAAATGTGGAAGATGGTGAAAGCAGGTAAGATGTGGGAGTACATGAATTTTTTTTTCTTTTTGCTGAGGATCTAACTTACTCTTTCTTTCTTTCTTTCTTTCTTTCTTTCTTTCTTTCTTTCTTTCTTCCTTCCTTCCTTCCTTCCTTCCTTCCTTCCTTCCTTCCTTCCTTATTTATTTATTTATTTATTTATTTATTTATTTATTTATTAAATTCAAATGGCATCCATCCTGCGGTTCAAGGCAACTCTGAGTGGTTTACAATGTAACATATATATTGTAATCCCATGTAATCCATAAACTTGGATTAATGTCACAGTTCCTAAGTCTTTGAGTGGTTTTATGCCATAAAGTCATTGGTGAGTCTTAGCGAACACATAGATAGCAATAGCAATAGTACTTAGACTTCAGTGGTGGGTTGCCCCCGGTTCGGACCAGTTCGCAAGAACCGGTAGTAAAACCGGCGGGAGGCTCCACCCACCAACCCGGATGTCATCAGGACGTTTCTGGGCACGCGCAGAAGCTCGCACACGATCCCGTTGAGAACCGGTAGTAAAGGTAAGTAGAACCCACCACTTTAGACTTATATACTGCTTCACAGTGCTTTACAGCCCTCTCTAAGTGGCATACAGAGTCAGCATTTTCATATGACTCACAACTTAATAAAGAACAGTTATAGATTGCACAGAGTGGTGTCTCTCAATTTAGCAAGCTTAAGTTGTGTGGACTTCAACTCCTGGCATTCCCCAGCCAACAGGTTTATCAGACTGTTACGATACAATCTGTAGCAATAACAGTTATGTGTGTAACAGACTATAGAGCCGTGATGGCAAACCTATGGCATGCGTGCCACAGATGGCACACAGAGCCATATCGGTGGGCACGTGAGCTCAGCTCCAGCTGATTTTTGGGCCTTCTGGGCCCACTGGTAGTTGGCAAACAGGCCGTATCTGGCCTCCGGAGGGCCTCCAGGGGTGTGGGGAAGGCCGCTTTCACCCTTCCCAGGCTCCTAGAAAGGCTCTGGAGCCTGGGGAGGGCGAAAAACAGGCCTACCGGGCTCACTGTCCCATTGCGTGCCAAAAGGGTGGGGCGCATAGAATTATGGGTGTGGGCATGCATGCGCGCGACCCCCCCCCCATGCGAGCCCCACTTTTGGCACGCGATGGCAAAAAAGTTAGCCATCATTGCTATAGAGTAATTTCTTAGGTATTCAGGAGGTAAAAAAGATGGCATAAAGTAGAGTACAATAAAGAATGAAAGAAATATCAGAATACTTTATGGGATTGTACTTAGTTTAGTTTATCGGGGTCATAGACCAATTTGAAATACATTCAACATGAAAACATAAGGTTCCCCATAGTAAGAGTAAGCATGAACCATAGTATACAGAACTGTGGGACGTTTTTAATTTTTAATTCAAAAATAAGACAGAATAAAAGTAACTTTATGATGAGGTTGCTATTTTTAATAGTTATACTGTATATATATATATATAAATTTGTTTCAGTAAAACTGGTGATACAAAGAAAAATAACACAGTGGGCAAGGAAGATAAGGAAGAAAAGAAAAATGAAAGTAAACCTGAGAAGAAAAATAATGAGGAGTAAGTGCTTTTAAGTTTCTACACAGAACAATCTTCTGTTAAAACGCATTACTACCCAAGCAGATTTATAGGCAAGATCCTTTGGTTATATAATAATCCTTTGTTAGTCTATGGAGGTAGTTCAGACAAAAAGCACATCAATAAATACTAGCTCTACCTTTATTGTAAGATTACATTCATAGAATTCTGCAAGTCCCGAAGCCCACTCCTTTCCTTTAATTCCCCAGAAATTAAAGGGGCCCTTTTGATATCTTTCCCATGCCCTCCCTCCTATGAGTTGAGGCAGGGGTGAAATTTATTTATTTATTTATTTATTTATTTTTGAATTTGTATACCGCCCTTCTCCCTGAGGACTCAGGGCGGTGAACAGCCAGATAAAAACACCAGATACAAATATTAAAACACATTTAAAAATATATATAGATTTGGCCCCGTTAATTAAAAACGATCAGCAAAACAGAACAATTAATAAAACCCTTAAAAAGAAATTAAGCCAGCCCGGCTTGTTGAAAAAAGAAAGTTTTAAGGGAACGGCGGAAGGCACTGAGGTCATGGATTCTCCTTATCTCAGGGGGCAACTGATTCCAGAGGGTAGGTGCCCCCACAGAGAAGGCCCTCCCCCTGGGGGTCACCAGCCTGCATTGTTTGGCTGATGGCACCCCGAGGAGGCCCTCTCTGTGGGAGCGCACGGGTCGGTGGGAGGTCGTCGGTGGCAGTAGGCGGTCTCGAAGATAGCTAGGCCCTATGCCATGGAGCGCTTTAAAGGTGATAACCAACACCTTGAAGCGCACCCGGAAGACCACCGGGAGCCAGTGCAGTTCACGCAGGAGCGGTGTTACATGGGAGCGCCACGCTGCTCCCGTCACTACCCGCGCTGCTGCGTTCTGGACCAGTTGGAGCCTCCGGGTGCTCCTCAAAGGGAGCCCCATGTAGAGAGCATTGCAGTAATCAAGGCGAGAGGTCACGAGGGCATGAGTGACTGTGCACAAGGCATCCCGATCAAGAAAGGGCCGCAACTGGCGGATCAGGCGAACCTGATAAAAGGTCCCCCTGGTTACAGCCGTCAGATGTTCCTCCAAGGACAGCTGTGTATCCAGGAGGACTCCCAGATTGCGAGCCCTCTCTGTGGGGGCCAAAGACTCGCCCCCAATAGTCAGTGATGGAGTCAACTGACTATATCGGGATGCCGGGAACCACAGCCACTCAGTCTTGGAAGGGTTGAGCCTGAGCCTGTTCCTCCCCATCCAGATCCGTACAGCCTCCAGGCACTGGGACATCACTTCAAGGGCATCGTTGGGGTGGCCTGGGGTGGAAATGTACAGCTGAGTATCATCAGCGTACTGATGGTATCTCACCCCAAAGCCACGGATGATCTCGCCCAGCGGCTTCACATAAATGTTGAACAGGAGGGGCGAGAGGACCGACCCCTGAGGCACTCCACATATAAGAGGCCTCGAGGTCGACCTCTGCCCCCCTGCCAACACGAACTGCGACCGGTCGGAGAGAAAGGAGGAGAACCACTGTAACACGGTGCCCCCCATCCCCAACTCTTCCAACCGGTGCAGCATGATACCATGGTCGATGGTATCAAAAGCCGCTGAGAGGTCTAACAGGACCAGAACAGAGGAGCAACCCCTGTCCCGAGCCCTCCAGAGATCATCAACCAACGCGACCAATGCCGTTTCCGTGCTGTGCCCAGGCCTGAAACCAGACTGGAACGGATCCAGATAGGATGTTTCCTCCAGGAATTGCGGGAACTGTCGCGCGACCACACTCTCAACAACCTTCGCCAGGAAGCGAAGGTTGGAGACAGGACGGTAGTTGGCCAATATTGCTGGATCCAGGGACGGCTTCTTGAGGAGAGGCCTCACCACCGCCTCCTTCAAGGCCGCGGGGAAGTAACCCTCACTCAACGAAGCGTTGATAATACCCTGGAGCCAGCCTCGTGTAACCTCCCGGGAGGCCAGTACCAACCAGGAGGGACACGGGTCCAGTAAACATGTGGCCGCACTAAGTCTCCCCAAGATCCTGTCCACATCATCGGGAGTCACAGCATCAAACTCCTCCCAGATAACATTCTCAGGACTATTCCTCGTCACCCTGCCCTGATCTACCCAGTCAGAGTCCAAGTCCCCCCGGATCTGAGCGATTTTGTCATGCAGGTATTGTCCGAAATCCTCCGCCCTGCCTTCCAATGGATCCTCCCGCGCTCCCAGATGGAGCAGGGAGCGGGTTACCCTGAACAGGGCGGCCGGACGATTCCCTGATGACGCAATAGAGGCGGAAAAGTAATTAAACTTTGCCGTCTTTATCGCCACTAGGTAGGTCTTAATATGCGACCTTACCAGTGTTCGGTCAGATTCAGCGCGACTGGCCCTCCAACCGCTCTCTAGGCGTCTTTTCCGGCGTTTCATCTCCCTCAGTTCCTCGGTGAACCAAGGAGCCGCGAGGGATCGACACCGGGTCAGAGGCCGCAAAGGCACGACTCGATCCAAGGCCCCACCAGCCGCCCGGTCCCAGGCAGCTACTAGGTCCTCGGCCGAGTCGTGTGCCAGATCATCAGGAATTGGCCCAAGCTCCGTCTGGAACCTATTAGGATCCATCAGGCGCCTGGGGCGGACCCATCTAATTGGGTCCGCCTCCCTGCGGCGGGGTGTAGCGGTACGAAGGTCCAGACGAAGGAGTGAGTGATCTGACCATGACAAGGGTTCCATATCTATATCCCCTATAACAAGATCACTCAACCACTGGCCAGAGACAAAAATCAAGTCTAGAGTGTGTCCCCCCCCGTGAGTGGGGCCATGAACTAACTGGGTCAGGTCCATGGCCGTCATGGAAGCCATGAACTCCCGAGCCATCCCAGACGTTTCACCAACGGATGGCAAGTTGAAATCACCCATGACCATAAGCCTGGGTGTATCAACTGCCACCGCGGCTATCACGTCGAGTAGCTCAGGCAGGGCTGCTGCCACGCGGCAGGGAGCCAGGTACGCAAGCAGCAAGCCCATCTGAACCCCATGACCCCATCTCACGAAGAGGGACTCACATCCGACAATCTGAGGCACAGTGGTCTCCCTCGAACCAAGACCTTCTTTAATAATAACCGCCACCCCCCCGCCCCTCCCCTGGGCTCTCGGTTGATGGTATGCTCTGAAACCTGGTGGGCACATCTCGACCAGAGGGACACCTCCCTCCGGTCCCAACCAGGTCTCCGTAATACCTGCCAGGTCCGCTCCCCCCTCCTGGATAAGATCGTGAATGAGGGGGGCCTTATTTACCACAGACCTAGCGTTGCACAGCATCAATCGCAGGCCCAGGTCCTGAGTATCTAAGCCACCTAGTATCCGAGGGGAGCCTTGGGGGCCGGGGCGCGCAATTGCTCTCAGACAGCGAGTGCGCGTCCCCAACACATGATGTGGCCCCCTGCTCCCGCCATATCTGCCCCTCCCAGCCACCGTGCAGATGGTATTTCCCTCCGCCCCCTCCCCATTCCCTCGTGCAATGTCCTCCAAACCGTTACCCAGTGCCGGGCTCGGCTCTGACCTTGGTGGATTACCCCCCCCATCCCCTTTGGTCGTCCTCCCGGTTCCCCTTAAAAAATTATTAAAAACCCTAATTAAAAAACCCCTTAATCCCCGCTTTGAAACATGCCACCTCTCAGGGCTCCAAATGCTCCTGGTTCGGACCGGATCGCCCGATCCGATAACGATGGCGGCGGGTGGTTCGGAGAACCGGTAGCAAAAATCCCTGCCCCCCCCCCAGCCCATGCCCAGCTCAGCCGCGTGATCATCAGAGGCTTTTTTTTTATTTTTAAAAGCATTTTTCTATAACCTCTTTGGCCGAAAAATGCTTTTCAAAGTTTAAAAAAAAACCTCTGATGATTACGCGGCTCAGCTGGGATCGTCAGAGGCTTTTAAAAGCATTTTTTTCTACAACCTCTTTGGCTAACAATTGGTGGGATTCAGTTAAGAAGGGCAATGCAGAATCCTGGTTTTGCTGTTGCTAAATGATGTGGTGAACTTTACAACTCTGTCGCTTAGCAATGGAAATTCCAGTCCCCATTGCTGTTGTAACCTACAGTCTATCTTCATAGTATCATAGAGCTGGAAGGGATCTTGGAGGACTTCTAGTTCAGGGGGCCCCAATCCCCGGCCCATGGCCCGCTACCGAGCCTCGAGCCATTCAGAACCGGGCTGTGGAAGTGGTGGGCGAGTGTGCATTCACGCGCATCCCACCTGCACAAACAGCCAGCAAGCATTTGCGCAAGTGGCGGGTGTGAAAACGGAGCTGTGCATAGGCTTGCTTGCCTGCCTGCCACTCATATGGAACCATCCCCTCTTCCACCCCCAAAGCTCGTCCGCAAAGCCAGAAAATTGGGTTCAACCCCCTAGCAGTAACATAGCTGATACCAGTGGTGAAATTTAAAAATTTCCCCTACCGGTTCTGTGGGTGTGGCTTGATCGGGGGGGAGGTCATGTGGCTGGGTGAGCATGGCCAACTCGACATCACTCACATCGAGGGGCTCCTCACCGGCCCCTCCCCTCCCAGCCACTTCTTGTCGCAAATGACAAGAAAATGGGGAAGGGAATATTCCTGCCTACTATTCTTCCCTCAGTCTGTGCTGAGACTGAGGAATGGATGACAGGCAGGAAAATCCCCTTCCCCATTTTCCTGCCTTTCACGAAAACGGCTCCATTCTAACTGCTCCCCCCCGTCCCCCTCCCTCCTGGGGACTACCTTAAAGGGACAGCCTGCAGGAGGTCTGTTCTGAATGGAGGGAGAAAAGTTAGCATTCTCTCTGCTGCATTTAACATTGAATTCTGTGGAATATTGAGCAGCCGGAAGAGGTAAGCGGGGACCAGCCAGGTGTGGGTGGGGCCAAGGAGGGGTAATTACTACCAGTTCGGCGAACTGATGTCCATAATCTCTAGCGGTTTGCCCGAACCGGTAGGATTTCACCCCTGGCTGATACTATTGATCAGGAGGCAACCTAGTGGGACTTGCTTGAAGTGACTCCGACTGGGATGTTTTGTCTTGCCTATTTGCACCCACATTCATTAGGAAGGCAATGCTAGCAAGCCACATCTGGAAAGCAGAAGGTTTTCCAGTGTTCTCCATGCCTGCTGGTGCTTTAGTGTTCTCTTTGGACGGTGACATGATGGACAATTGAAAGGGGTAGAACATGGGAAAGGGGCGGGGTAGTTTTCATTTCTTGACATCATCCACTTTGGGGCTTTGAGAGAGGACAATCTAACCATTATCCTGAATTGTCTTCTTGTTCCAATGTTATATGGTAGATAACTACCTATATCTTGGCATCTAAACAGAATATTTGTATTTTGCAACCCCTTGAGCCAAAGTTAAATTGTAGAGATTTCTAGGAAAGAGTTGATTCAGTGAAATCACTTCTGTTTCAGCTTGGGCCACCATTTTGTATGAACAGTTAATGCACGGCTGTCTTTAGAAGAGCATATGACGGCCGTGGCCAGGGGGGCTTTTTATCAGGTCCGCCTGATTCGCCAGTTGCGTCCCTTTCTGGATCGGGATTCCTTACGCACAGTCACTCAAGCACTCGTCACTTCCCACCTGGACTACTGCAATGCTCTCTACATGGGGCTCCCCTTGAGGAGCACCCGGAGGCTCCAACTGGTGCAGAATGCAGCCGCGTGGGGGATTATGGGAGCGAGGGGGGGCTCCCATGTGACACCTCTCCTGCGTGAGCTGCATTAGCTTCCAGTTGTCTTCCGGGTGCGCTTCAAGATGTTGGTTACCACCTTTAAAGTGCTCCATGGCATAGGACCTGGGTATTTGCAGGACCGCCTTCTGCCGCTGATAGCCTCCCACCGACCAGTACGCGCCCACAGAGAGGGACTCCTCAGGGTGCCGTCAGCCAGGCAATGTCGGCTGGCGACCCCCAGGGGGAGGGCCTTCTCTGTGGCAGCTCCTGCCCTCTGGAACGATTTGCCCCCAGAGATACGAAGGATATCGGATCTCCGGGTTTTTCGCCGTGCCCTGAAAACTTTTCTTTTCCATCAAGCAGGGCTGGCGTGACCCCCCTCCCCCTTTTTTAGTCTTTTTAGTTGTTTAGTTTTAAATTTTCATGGGGTTTTAAATTGAATTGTTTTAAATTGGGCCAGTTATATAATGCTTTTAATAATTTTAAATTTTGTATCTGCATGTGTTTTAGCTCTGGCTGTTCACTGCCCTGAGTCCACTAGGAGAAGGGCGGTATACAAATTGAAATAAATAAATAAATAAATAAATAAATAAATAAATAAATAAATAAATAAATAATGTATGAATGGATAATTTTTCCTTATGCTTACCTCTTCAGGGGGAAGAATGAAATATTTGTCATTGATCCCTCTGGAAATCTTTATTACAACTGGTTGTTCTGCATCACATTGCCTGTCATGTACAATTGGACAATGATCATCGCTAGGTATTGTAATATACAAAAACTGACCATATTAGAAGCGTTGCTATGTCTTAAGCTCAGCTTCCCAACTTGGCATCATCCAGCTCTTCGTGAGCTTCAACTTCCAGAATTGTTATCCGTCAAAGCAATTGGTTGCTTTAAACAGAGAAGGAACTTCTTTCTTTCTTTCTTTCTTAATCTTTTAATTTTTGTCGCATTCTTTGAAGCTGTTTTCATCTGTAAGCTATTCAAAGTTGTTCGGAATTGTGCGGCATGCACATTTAATAAATAAATAAGCAGAAAATGCGATCCTGTCCTACCACAAAATCAGTTAAGTTCATTGAGAAATATTGGTTGTCCATTGGTCGTGGTTTAAGAAACGCCTGTGAACAATGGAGGTCTCGGCAAAATAACAACATAACAGAATGTAAAATGTATACCATTTTCGAGTCTGCAATACGGGAATAAGGATATTCACGTAAGAATACTCAGCAGCCATTCTGATGGCTGTTGACAAAATGTACGTAAACTGTTCAAAGATTCCAAAAAACGTTTTATAAATTGTCATTTGCTGAACGTTCAAACTTTTAAATTAGAAATGGAATATCTTTTTGGATGTATGGTTGATTTAACCTTAGGCGATAGCTGATTTCCATAATGATGTCATATCCCATGTTTCAAGGAAGGTTAATTTAAAAAGGAACAGCACCTTCTTCCCCTGCTTAGAGATTTATCCGAGGCTTTTAATTACCGTGTGAAGCTGATGTTGGCTTGTGAATATAGTAAACTGAAATCTATAAGCCCCAATGTCTATCGATTTTCATAAATCCTAGGTAGTGCCTGCCAAGCCTTTTGCTTTATGTGAATACAATAATTTGTCACTTGATGGTGCTGTTAATATCTATTGTGGCTCCGTTACCAGAGCCTGTGTCATCGGCAGGAGAGGACTCCGAGAGTGAAGGAGAGGAGTTGGCAAGGCCTCCCTCTCCAGGACCCTCCTCTCTGGCAATGCCTTCAGTGTCCGCCGAAGGGCAAGAGATAGGGCTGGGGCCAAGCACGTCCACGCAGCCACAGATGGACAGTGATGAGGGTAATGAGTCTTGGCTGGATCCACACCAACGTCGCAGAGATAAGCGCGCGCAACAGAAGAAAAGGCGTGCCCGAGATTAGGCTGAGTCACTGGACCACACCCCAGGATATAAAAGGGAGCGTGGTGGCCAGTCAAACCTTGTGACGAACAAAGCTGAAAGCTTCCACACCATTCTGCATTGCCAGACTTTTGGCTATAGACTTTGCTGGCTTATCTCTGGACTTGATTAACTCCGTAATTATTGAGCTGTTTCTTTTGATGTATCAGAAGTGGGGAGAAGTTATCTCTCCTCTTCGTAAATAATAAACTCTTGGCAGGCAACCACAGAACTTGGTTGTTGCCAAGTTCCGGCTGGTTTGGTCTTTAACTCTTGAACGTCTGTTGGTGAGTGTGACAGAACAACATCCTTCTTCACCAAAGCAATTTACGTAGCTTTGAGAAACTAAGGCTATTGCTTAACGCATTGTAAGCCGCTCTGAGTCTCCGGAGAAGGGCGGCATATAAATCAAACCACCGAAACGAATAGCTGTTGTTGTTGATGATGATATTTAATGCTTAATTTTTAAATTTCTGGTGTCCTTTGTTCTTACTCAGGGCCTGTTTTGATGAACTTAATCATAACAGCGTAGAAATGTGGTTGATTTTGGACTATTCTGCAGATTTTATTTATGTTGCTGACATGTTTGTGCGGACGAGGACAGGTAAGTGTGTTCTGTTGTCTCTGTTGCGCACTTGAAAATTGGTACAGTGGTACATGTATTCCAGGATTGGATTCTATTTACCTTTACTACCGGTTCGCAACGGGGCTGCACAAGCTTCTGTGCATGCGCAGATTGTCATTTTTGACGTCCGGGCGGGTGGACGGAGCCTCCTGTCGATTTTACTACCGGTTTTGTAGAACCGGACAGAACCAGGAGCAACCCACCACTGATGTATTCCTCAACTTATGACCACAATTGAGCCCAACATTTCTGTTGCTAAGCGAGGCAGTTATTCAATGAGCCGCACCTCATTTTATGACCTTTTCTTGCCACAAATAAGCAAATCATTGCAGTTGTTAAATGAATCATTGCAGTCACTTTGCAGGAAATCTGGCTTTTCTCATTGACTTTGCTTGTCGGAAGCCAGCTAGGAAGTTTCCAGATGTTGATCATATGACTCCGGGACAGTGCAACTCTCATAAATATACAGGTGGTCCTTGACGTACAACAGTTCATTTAGTGACCGTCCGAAGTTACAACAGCACTGAAAAAAGTGACTTATGACCATTTTTCAAACTTATGATCATTGCAAAATTCCCCCTGGTCACCTACGATTTACTTTCAGATGCTTGACAACTGAGTCACATTTATGACAGTTGCAGTGTCCCCGGGGTCATGTGACCAATTTTTGCCACATTCTGACAAGCAAAGTCCATGGGGAAACCAGATTCACTTAACAACCTGGTTACTAATTTAACAACTGCAGGGATTCACTTAACAAATGTGGCAAGAAAAGTCGTACAGTGAGGCGAAACTGACTTAACAAATTTCTCACTTAGCAACATAAATTTTGGACGCCATTTTGGTCGTAACTTGAGGACTGTAATGCCAATTGCCAAGTACTCGTGCCTTTTCCCTTCCTATCTAAATTACAGTAGAACTTTCAGCTTTTATTGTTATTTGTTATTCTCAGTGTGCACAGGAGAACCAAGAACGAGAAATAGTTTAATCATCTTCTTTTTGTAATAACATTCATACTAGGCATTGGTTTTTAAAATAAATTTTATTTGAGCTATTGTTTGCATATTTAATCAAATTGGTGTTTCAACTGGCTAAACAGCATCTCCATGATATAGAAATGAAACAGAGGGGCCACAGCGGTCCAAAAAAATCAAGCTGGAGATCACAATTGTGCAATCAAAACCACATCCTTCTTTTCCAGATACAACTGCACGTTTGTGGCTGCCATCTTGAGTTTTTTGTCCTCTACCCTGCAGGTATCTCTGAATGGACACCTGCAACCAGAAGTAACCATCAGCTTTCAATGGCACTTCTGCCTAGATATTTATATATATACATTCAGTATACCTTATGCATTTTTTTGTGAATTCTCTTTGAATGCCGGTACGCTCTCATAGAGAGGGGCTCCTCTGGGTGCCGTCAGCCAAACAATGTCGACTGGCGGCCCCCAGGGGGAGAGCCTTCTTTGTGGGGGCACCTACTATCTGGAACGAGCTCCCCCCGGAGGATCCGGGATCTGCGCACCTTCCGCGGCGCTCTAAAGACCTTTTTATTTCACCAGGCGGGCCTGGCCTAACTTTCTCCCTCTTTTTAAACAATTTTAATATTTTAATATTTTTAATATCTTTAATACTCAAAGTCTAAATTTGTTTTAAATTGATTGGGGTTTTAATCTGTCTGGGCCAAACTATTTAATTCGATTTTATTTCTGCTTTTTAAATTTTGTATGTATGTATTTTATTGTTGGCTGTTCACCGCCCTGAGTCCTTCGGGAGTAGGGCGGTATACAAATCAAATAAAAGTAAGTAAAGTAAAGTAATGTGTTTATTTTTAACGTGGAAAAGCTTGAGATGTATTATATGAGGGAATTTTTAAAATTAGCTACTAGTCCAGAATCTCCTTCCTTACCAAAAAAGATCACCCAATTTCATCCAGTGGTTAAGACACTGAAACTCAGAGACTACCCTGTTTCCCCCAAAATAAGACATCCCCTCATAATAAGCCCAATCGGGCTTTTGAGCGCATAACAATAAGGCCAAGTGCTTATTTCAGGGTTCAAAAGAATGTAAGACAGGGTCTTATTTTCGGGGTAACACAGTAGTTTCAGTGCCTTAACCACTGGCTAGAAACTAGGAGACCATGAGTTCTAGTCCCATCCTAAACATGAAAGCTAGCTGGGTGAGCAGTCACTCATTCTCAGCCCAACCCACCTCGTACAGTTGCTCTTTTGGGGAAAATAGGAGGAGGGAGTGTTAGGTATCTTGAGTATAAAAAATAATATTGAGATAGGATCTAAATAAATATAATAAATTTCAGATCCCCATTTTTTAATTTCTGGGGATGATTATCTTAACTATCCATAACGCTGGACAGAAATAGGGAATAGGTGGTCTTCTAAATTCCCTTACAAATACCACTTCAGAAATTCCTGATTATCACAAACCAAGGCCAAATCCTAGTTTGAAATAAGCATTCAGTTTCTTGGTTTTGAAATTATGGGAAAACTGTTAAGCCCTGCATAAAAATATAAAATAATTTAGCAGTGTTTCTGCACAATTTTATATACCCCGTTTCCCCCCAAAATAAGACCTCCCCTGATAATAAGCCCAATCAGGCTTTTGAGTGCATGGCAATAAGGCCCAGCGTTTATTTCAGGGTTCAAAAGATATAAGACAGGGTCTTATTTTCGGGGAACCCCAGTAATGAACAATCACATTAAAAAGTTAATTCAGAATTTTAAGTGTGATAAAGTTTCATGGAAATTCACTGTCCTAACGAAGTATTGTTGGAGAAAAAAAGATGATAAATTTCTAAATGTTGGTTTAGTTCTTCGCATTTTACTTTTAAGTGTGAACTGGAACGGGTCAAAATTCTGACTACTTGCAAAGATGATGGCAATACCTCTAGTTATAGATAATGGTTTAGTAATCACTTCTGTTTCTTTTGTCATTGATTAAAAACAGATTCATACCATAAAAAATTGCTTATGTTTTGCTTCAGGTTACTTGGAGCAAGGCTTGTTGGTGAAGGAAAAATCGAAGCTCAAGAAAAGATACAAGCAAACATCACAATTCAAATTCGATCTGCTGTCCATCATGCCAACTGATCTACTTTACTTCAAATTTGGACTGAATTACCCAGAAATAAGAATAAACAGATTACTTAGAATATCACGCATGTTTGAATTCTTCCAGCAAACAGAAACGAGGACAAGTTATCCAAATATCTTCAGAATCTCTAATCTTGTCATGTACATTATAATTATCATCCACTGGAATGCTTGTATGTATTTCTCCCTCTCAAAAGCGATCGGCTTTGGAACAGACACATGGGTCTATCCCAATGTTACTCATCCTGAATTTGGCAGGCTCGCTAGAAAATATGTGTATAGTCTTTACTGGTCAACACTGACTTTGACGACTATTGGTGAAACACCTCCTCCTGTTCAAGATATTGAGTATTGGTTTGTTGTTGTTGATTTCTTGGTCGGTGTATTAATTTTTGCTACTATTGTTGGTAATATTGGTTCTATGATCTCTAATATGAATGCTGCCCGGGAGGAATTTCAAGCAAAGATCGATGCTATCAAGCAATATATGCAATTTCGTAATGTAAGCAAAGATTTAGAAAAACGGGTTATCAAATGGTTTGATTATTTGTGGACAAATAAAAAGGCCGTAGACGAAAGAGAAGTCTTGAAATTTCTTCCGGATAAATTACGAGCAGAAATTGCTATTAATGTTCATTTGGAGACATTAAAAAAAGTCCAGATTTTCTCAGACTGTGAAGCTGGTCTGTTAGTTGAGCTGGTTCTGAAACTACAACCTCAGGTATATAGTCCTGGTGATTATATCTGCCGGAAAGGTGATATTGGGCGAGAAATGTATATTATCAAAGAAGGAAAACTCGCAGTGGTAGCTGATGATGGAATAACTCAATTTGTGGTTCTTAGTGATGGCAGCTATTTTGGAGAGATTAGCATCCTTAATATTAAAGGTAGCAAAGCTGGAAATAGGAGGACAGCTAATATTAGAAGTCTTGGCTATTCAGATTTGTTTTGTCTGCATAAAGATGACCTGATGGAAGCTTTAATAGAATATCCAGAGGCAAAGACTTTGTTGGAAGAGAAGGGGAAGCAAATCCTTATGAAAGATGGACTACTGGATTTAGAGCAAGGAAACATGAAAAGAGAGACGGAAAACCTCGAGCAAAAGGTCAGCCAAATAGAAGGAATGCTAGATAATTTACAAACAAGATTTGCTAAACTTTTAGCTGAATATAGTGCTGCGCAGCAGAAATTGAAAATAAGGTTAAGGCAAGTCGAGACCATTGTAAAACCATCCCTAGAGTATGATTTTTCAGACTTAGAAGAACTGCAGAGAACTTCTGGTCATTAAGGATTAAAAAAAAACATTTCAGATATATCATACTTGAGGATAAATTAATAAACGATGGGCAGAAGTATGTTAGATATTCCATTAGATATGGGAAACTATTCATAACAACCAGGTTTTTCTCTGGGCAGTATTTTTTTAAATAAACCATGTTCAACAGACATGTTTAAGAACTTGAATTTAGTCCCTCCGAAAAAATACAGCAATGCCATCATCATGTACTGTGGTTCTACAAATGAGAATTTCATGGTTCAGTTTGGAAACGTGGAATCTCAAGGAATTAATGAAGGCTTAGTAGGTTTCGTTCTAAATTTCGTCTGTATAATCCATCTAGAAAGAAACAATTTTTCCAGCTACTCAGTAGCTATTGTGGGTTTACAATTGATGGACATTGTTAAACTATTTGATCGTATTAGATTCAGGACAACTTTGTTATCATAACTATCTGGAAAACTCGAAGTAGTTTGTATAATGTGGAAATATTTTTACAAGAAAATCCTGCACTGCTAGTAATATAATAATGATGTTTTTGCAGAATTGTGCCAGTTGTACTGACTGTAAGCTATTCGTCATGAGTTAAAATATTTGTTGGATAAACAGACAGAATTTTTACCCTGAGAGTTATTCTTTTTGATTATCAGTGTTTTCAGCAAAGTATAATTTCTGTAGCAACCAGATGATACAAATGAAATGAAGCTAGCGCTGCTGTCAAATTATAAGAATAGAATAGAATAGAATTCTTTATTGGCCAAGTGTGATTGGACACACAAGGAATTTGTCTTGGTGCCTAAAACTCGGTAATGGAGAAGATACCTAACTGAGGAATCCAGAATGAAGATGTAAGATGTAGTACAGGTGTGTAACCCATTGGTGGGTTTCAACATTTTTTACTACCAGTTCTGTGGGTGTGGATTGGTGGGTGTGGCATGGATTGGCGGGTGAAGGTTACTGCAAAATCCCCATTTTTTCCTGATCAGCTGGGACTTGGGAGGCAGAGAATAGATGGGGGTGGAGCCAGTCAGAATTTTTACTACCGGTTCTCCGAATTACTCAAAATTTCTATTACCGGTTCTCCAGAACTGGTCAGAACCTGCTGAAACCTTTCATGAAGATTTCCTGGAAAGGCAGAGCTTGGGTCTTGAAGTAAAAAAAAATAACCCACACTAACCAAGTGTTCCATTGCAAAGTGGCAACCAAACGTCTTTCGAATGGAGCAGTGTAAGAACACGAGATGAGAAACGCACTGCAGCCACCGAGAACATCAGAAAAAGGAAACAACTAGAGAACATCCTCCAACAAAACAGACACTCATATCCAACTTTATCAAAACCATTCAACACCCTACAGCACAGCCAACATAAGCTATGAAAAGGATAACACTACCATACATGAAAAACATCTCAGAAACAGCCAACAGACTATTACAACCACAGGGCGTCACCGTAGAAAACATCTTAGGTTAACCAAAATATTCAATAACTCAAGAGCCTTGGTAGTACAGTGGTTTAATGCACCCTGTTATTAACACAGCTGCCTGCAATTTCTGCAGGTTCAAATCTTACCAGGCTCAAGGTTGACTCAGCCTTCCATCCTTTCTAAGGTAGGTTAAATGAGGACCCAGTTTGTGGGGGCAATAAGCTGACTTTGTATAAATATATACAAAAAGTATGAAGGCTATTGCTTAACGCACTGTAAGCCGCCCTGAGTCTCCGGAGAAGGGCGGCATATAAATCAAATTAAAAAAAAAAAGAAGAAGAAAAAAACAAGAGTCATCTACAAAATACAGTTTAATGATTGTGGCAGTCATTATGTAAGACAGACAGGCAGAAGATTAGTACAACACATCCATGAGCACCAACTAGCAGTAACAATGACATTAATTTCACAATGTATGGGTGGACTCGACCATGGCTTCACACTGGGAAACCGAGCAGAATTTAGCTAATTCCTGGAAGCTTGGCATTGAGACAAATCACCAATAGACACATAAAGACAGACCATGTACCACTCAGAAGGTGCGCTAGGGGGCGCTGGCCTAATCTCCTGGCATGGTGAGCACGTTGCCACCTTCCATTCTGCTGACTTATCAAGCAATCGATGCAGCGGCTCTGCAACTTTACCACTTTACCTACCTACCTGGTAAAAAAATGTAAAAATTCAATAGCCCCAGAAATGCTTGAAGTTCTGTTTTATTTGTCGGGAGGTGGGGGGGGGTTCCTTAATTGCCTTGATTTTCCATTCATGGGGTGGATGCCTGCTTCCTCAAGTAAGTATCCCGGAAATTCGACACTAGGTACCGCTATTTGGCGTTTTTCCTTCTTTATCTTAAGGCCAGCCTCTTGGAATCTACTGAAAACTCGTCTCAGTCTATGTGTTAATTGTTCCTTGTTCTCTGCGACCACAAGGACATCATCAAAGTAAGGCACCACCCCTGGAATGCCGCTCCATTAAGCATTGGAAAATTCCTGGGGCCACACTAACCCCAAATTGTAGTCTGCGGCATTTAAAAGCCCCCTCCCCCGTGGGTCAGAATGGTTTGTGCCTCTGTGTTCTGCCCCAGCTACAGACCCCAAAGAACGCAGCCCACACAAAGTCCGTACAAACCTTAGTTTACTAATTAAGGACTACTAATGAGCTTTCTTAGTAATTGTTCGAACACAAGTACAGTTTAAATCAGTCTTTTCTGAACAAGGGCTGTTAATTTAACTTCATTAACAGCCGACAAGAATCCAAAGAATAATAACTCAATTCTGAGGCACAGTATTTCAGATAACTGTAATCTTACTGTGGTTGGCAGAATGCCCAGAAGCAATTTGCAGGAAAACTGATGAGATAAACAAGAGCCGAATCAAACGTTTCTGGAATCAAGACACGAAGGAATATGAACGAAGTTGTTTCCTGCAAATTGCATCAGTCGTCGTCCTTCCTTAAATAGGCTAGGGGAGTGGCCAATTAGCTCCAAGCCTTACTCTCAAGGAGACCTCCTCCTGAGGAGCCACTCCTGCCTTTTAACAGCTCTGCGCGCTCATGCATCGAGAAGAAGCTCCTCCTCTTCTTCCTCTTCACTTATGGGAGCTTCTGGAGGTTCTGAAGGCCCTGGCTGAATCCCTGCCTCTGGCACCACATCTTCTCCAGCCTCCTCATTGTCTGACTCGAACGCCAGCTGCACAGCACCACACCAGCCTCCTCGTTGTTGGAATCAGCTACTAACTGCACAGGCCACTGATGGGCCACAACACTATGCAGTAGCCTCATCTGCTGGTAATTGTTGATACGCTTGGGCCAAATCGAATTTAGCAAAGATTTTTCCTTTTCCAAAGGAATGCAACAGATGTTGTACTATTGGTATCGGCTGGCGCTCTGTTGCAGTGCCTTGTTTATAGTCAGCGCATACATGAACTGACCCATCTGGTTTCACAGGTGTGACTTGGCCCAAAGGAGAATAGGAATTCGCCTCGGTTCCACTCTGACAAGGGTGATGCTAAGTTGAAAGATATAAAGGTCCCCGTATACTTGCCCAGGCTTCCATCGAAAACATCCTCGAATTCCGACTGCAACTCCGCTTGCAAATCATTAGGGTCCTGTTACGTCTGGACGGCAAGCATGGGTGGCCAATAAAGCAGCCGATAGGTCTGTGTGCCGGCAAGCAGCCAGCGGGAAATCGGTGGTTCCTGATTGGCCCAGCTACTGACAGCTCAGTATAAAAGAGCTGTCAGTGCCTCAAAACGCTGCTCGCTCTCCAAGATAGTTAGCTAAGCAGAGCTAGTCACTGTTAGCTTTTATTGTTAGCCAATAAACATTTGTGAAGTGTTTATCCTGCCTCACCTCCCTTCTTAAGCCTTTGTTCAGTGAATAGAACAGGTCCTCTCCTTGTACGGAATGTATGATTAGTTCTATGTCAATGTCTTTAAACCATTTTATCCCCAGGTTCAAGGGGTGCATAGGTAGTCATCCTACCGGCCGGTGTTGGAAGAAAAGGCAATCCAGTTGGAGGGCGAAAAAAATGGTCGTCCATGCCATACGGTGATTGTCCTTTGTTCTCCTCTAGAATCCCACCCTTGTTGCCAGTGTTCAATGGCGGTCAGAGTGAGGAGCTAAGCTGGTTTGAGGGCGACTTTGATCTATTTCATCCATGTCAGAACTCAGGTTGCCTTAGAAAATGGCCAATGCCTGTACGGTGGTTCTTCTGCCTCTCTAAACTCTTTCCTCAGCCAAAGCTGACAAAACAGCTGGGGATGATGGTGTTGTGAACAGAATAGAATAGAATTCTTTATTGGCCAAGTGTGATTGGACACACAAGGAATTTGTCTTGGTGGATACGCTCTCAGAGTATATAAAAGAAAAGATACATTCATCAAGAATCATAAGGTACAACACTTAATGATAGTCATAGGGAAACAGTCAATATAAATCTTAAGGATACCAGCAACAAAGTTACAGTCATACAGTCATAAGTCGGAGGAGATGGGTGATAGGAACAATGAGAAGATTAATAGTAATGCAGACTTAGTGATTTTTTTTTAATTTGATTTATATGCCGCCCTTCTCCGGAGACTCAGGGCGGCTTACAATGCGTTAAGCAATAGCCTTCATACTTTTGTATATTTATACAAAGTCAGCTTATGGTCCCCACAAACTGGGTCCTCAATTTACCTACCTTAGAAAGGATGGAAGGCTGAGTCAACCTTGAGCCTGGTGAGCTTTCCTGGCCAGGGGGGCTTTTTATCAGGTTCGCCTGATTTACCAGTTGCGTCCCTTTCTGGATCGGGACTCCTTACGCACAGTCACTCACGCCCTCGTCACTTCCTGTCTGGACTATTGTAACACTCTCTACATGGGGCTCCCCTTGAATCGCACCCGGAGGCTCCAACTGGTCCAGAATGCGGCTGCGCGGGTAATTATGGGAGTGACTCGACACTCCCATGTAACACCACTCCTGCGCGAGCTGCACTGGCTCCTGGTGGTCTTCCGGGTGCGATTCAAGGTGCTGGTTGCCACCTTTAAAGCGCTCCATGGCATGGGACCTGGGTATCTATGAGACCGCCTTCTGCCACCAATAGCCTCCCATCGACCGGTACGCTCCCACAGAGAGGGGCTCCTCCGGGTGCCGTCGGCTAGGCAATGTCGGCTGACAACTCCCAGGGGGAAAGCATTCTCTGTGGGGGCTCCTGCCCTCTGGAATGAGCTTCCCCTGGAGATTCGTAGGATTCCCGACCTGCGTACCTTTCGTCGCACCCTAAAAACATTATTATTCCAACAAGCAGGGCTGGCCTAAATAATAATAATATTTTACTATTTTAATGGGTTGTTTTATTAGAGTTTTCAGCCAATTTATTTAATTGTTTTAAATTGCTTTTAATTTTTATATTGTCATGGTTTTATTTCTGGCTGTACACCGCCCTGAGTCCTTCGGGAGAAGGGCGATATAGAAATTTAATAAAATTAAATAAATTAAGGTAGGGCCTGAACTTCTCCTGGTGCCTTAACCATGGTCAAACTGGCTCTCCAAATGGGAGACATGCCATCAGTTTGGGGAGTGGTGTAAAGCTGGCCACAACCACCCAGTTGTTCATGCCCACCCAGTCTCCCCACCAGCACCACCCCAGAGGTCAAC